ATTTTCTCAGAATTTATGTGTAGAGCCAATTACTCATAAAATTAATCGTGAAGGCCAGGATGATGCCCTCTTCCCAGTGAGAAACTAACCACTCTGTTTTTTTTTGACAGCTGAAAGAAAGGCTCTCCATATTCGCCAAAACATTCAAGACAGTTCTCTTATACATAGAGAAATTCTGGCTTTCAAGAATTCTGGAAGGGTCAATTCTGCTCTACCGAGGGATTAAAGCACAAAGAGAAAAGATTCTCTGCTTCCAAGAAAAGCGCTTCTGCATTTAAGCTCCTCTGAGAGCCACTTTTTTGTTCTCATGTGACACAGTTACCATGGTGCATTGTCAGTGCAACTGTATCGACATGTGGAAACAGCTACCTTTGCAGAGATAAGTGGGAGCCTCACAAGACCGAGAACTCTGCAAGGTGTCTGTTCCGCCAGACACTGCCCTGCAGAAGGCAGGAGTTGACCTGAAATTTCCATGAAACAGGGTCAGGTGGTTTACCCAACAGCCCCACAGCTCTCCTGATCTGTTGCTGCAGCAGCACAAATGACATCAATAATTAGTTGATCTATACAGCAACCCCCTCAAGTCTCTAGTAATTTTAGACAAAACATGGATAACACAAAAAATAAACCAAATATGTAGGCAACAATGAACTGATACAAAATTCTACATTTTGCCCACAAACTCTTCCTCAATTTTCCTGTTATTTTTCCAGGCACTAAGACTTGGAGATCAGTCTCTTTCTAGCCTCAACTACTACGTCCATACTCTCTAGGTGCTGCTACTTCTCGTGGGTGTGGTGTGTTCCAGCTCTCACTGCTAGGAGCCACATCTCAATGCTTGCATTTTCTGACTAGCTCCTAACCAGGTTTCCAGCGATACACTCCTTCATGGTTGATTGCTACTATGTTCAGACTATCACGTGCCCATTTCTTACCAATCTGAGAATCTTCCTTAGATTCTTACCCCACCTGTCTGGTAGTCCTGCCTATTTGTGAACAGTGTGTCTGAATTCCCTATTTACTGGGCCCAGGTCACCTGTCAATGGAGGAGTCACACAGATGACAGAAAAGAGCCCGACTCTGGTACTGGAATATTTCAGGGTTAATTCCAGCTCTGCCATTTACCTGTCCAGAGGCTCTGAGACTGTCCCTTCAGTTCTTGGTTTTTGGTAATTGGGACTACTAAAATCAATGTCAAGCAGTTATGTGAAAATTAGACATAATGTCTACAGTATATGTTGGTTCCCTTCACCTATGCAATCTATCCTGCCTTTGTTCACGTTAGACCTCTGACTCTGATGCTCACCCTTCCCCCATCTTCTACTCCCAAAGCTTCAAAGAAGGTGCTAATCAAGGATAAGAACAGCTATATGGGATATAGTACAGTATGGAGATCCTCTCGAGTAAACCCCAAATTAATTTTTTTAGTGTAGAAGTGGAAATCCCATTAATAGGAGATTATTTCCTGTCAAGAGAAACACTTGAATAAGATCTCATTTCTCATAATCCCCTCAGCAAAGCAAGCATCAATGATTCCTCATTCCCATTTGCTTGAGAAATCAACAAGCACTAACCAAGTACTTATAAAACACCAGACACTAAGGTACTAAAATTAAAACCCATGATCTTGCTATGTAGACATAATGAGCAATTACAAAAGACAGGAGTCTGACACACATTCAAAGAGAAGGATGTGTGTGACAATCAAACTATCATAAAATAATATAAAAGGAAGAAGAAGACGGAGCGGCTAAGTTAACTCAGAAGAGTCCACATGATAAATGCACATAGAAAATGTGCTATCAAATTCAAATGTGACTCTTAAGAAGAGGGGAAGACTTGCTGAAACTGGGCAGGAAAAAAAAGGCTTCCAGGACCAGAGACAAGTCTTTCTGAGCAGGATAGACAAAGGTGTGTGTAGAGCTGGTCACATCAATGGGAATCAAAAGTCCTATCACTACGGCTTAGGTTGGGTTAAGATGGAAAGTACGAAGAAGAAAGAAAAGGGACAGTGCCCCGAGCCAGGGAATGAGTTTGAACTTTATCCTAAGAGCACAGGAAACTGAGAGCGTGGTGTGTAATTCTAGGTCTTTCACTAGCTGAGATTTTTTGAGGCTTATATATGGTGGTGTAAAACTACATGTGCTCTGACACATTCTAAGCCATTGAAATGCTAAGTGAGAAATGGCTGGTGATCTTTCCTAAGGAAGCCTGAGTCCTGGTGTTGGGAGAAGCAATGTGAGCAAAAGGAGGTGAGCCATTCACTGACTGCCGGGAACCAACAACAGACAAGCACATAGGAAAGGATGGCAAAGTCCTCGGGCAATATCGACAGCAACAGGGATGAGCAAGCGTCTAATAGGATAGTTTGTACATCCACAGCAGAAAATTGTCACTTCTAGAGATGTTCTCTCAGTCTCCCTCTAGAATCAGGATATCATAATGTCATCATTTATCTTGACTCTCCCTGGGGACTTAGGACTCAAAGGGACCTGGACATGGAGAACTTTTTGTCCACTTCCTTCATGTATGACTCCAGCAGTTTGCCAACTTTTAAAGCATGCCTCAGATGTCTCAGCATCTCCATCTCTGTCTCTGTCTCTGACTCCCTCCATAGATTGAACCTTGGACCTCATGCATGCTAGGCAAGCATCCTATCACCGAGCTACATCCTCAGACTTTTTATGTTCCCTTTTCATTTTGAGATCGTGAGTCACTAAATTGACAGGACTGTGTTTGAACTTACTCTATAGCCCAGGTTGGCTTTGAACCTGCAGTCACCCTGCCTCAGCCTCCTGAGTGGCTAAGACTATAAGCCGACATACTCAGCTAGAGGTTTTTTGAAGAATAGGAAAGAGCCTGCGTGCAGAGTACCTAGAACATTCCTTGGCATATGGCAGATGTCCCACGGGATAGACTATCCTGATATACACAAAGTCACAAAGAACAGGGATGGCCCTCCAAGAAGAATAAGGAATAAAGAAAGGAAAAGAAATCAGTCAACTCTTAAGTGCCTTTGCTATTAAATCTAAATTCTTCAAGTGGAGACAGTAAGTGCCTATTTTTCTGTGAGGGCGTGTTTGACTGTTACTTTGCAGTTGGTGTTAACACAGATAACAGGAATATGACTGGTAATTAAATCTTCATTGATGTCTACCCACAACAAATATACAATTAAGATGTCAGGGATGAGGGTGGGAAAGAGAAAGCAAAGGAACATGAGAAATCTTCTATGAAAGACCCTTCCTTTGGTACACCATTAATAACCCTCTACTTCCCTGGCCAACTAAGCTTATTCTCAAACTGATGCTGCTAATGGTGCTAAAATACATGACCAGCATCCTGACATGTACTCTCTGCATCTGATAAAGGGACTCAGGGATGGTGAGCCTACAGGCATCTAAGACTCCATCTTTTCCTCTCTCTAGTCCAAGCCAACATGGCTGCTCCATGCAGAAGAGTGAGATTCCTGATGCCTAAAATTAGGAAGCTCCTATGCCTAAAAGTAGCTGGAGAAGCCAAAGTAGCCAAGTGGCAATTGTGTGGCTCCAGGAAGGACTTCTTTCATCTTCTACCAAGACAGAGACAGTGCCTTCTGGCCAAACGATGAGATGAATTGACTGCTTAATCCTGAGCCTGTTACATCCTGTAGATGCAACATGTTCCAGCAACACACAATCTATCCTGCAGGCTCAAGAAAGTCCTCAAGGCTGTTTACAGGGTAACTCAGATCAGCTCATTGTAAGAAAGATGCAGGTGACAATTACTTGTGATAACTACCAAAATGCCACAGCCTAAAATAATAGGAAATGGAAAGCTAGAGAGATGACTCAGGTGGTGAAGGTACTTGTTGCCATGGCTAACCACTTGAGTTAGAACCCAGGGACTCACATGATGGGAAAAAAAGAAACAAATCCCTCTTGAAAGTTGTCCTCTGACTTCCACTCATGACTGATAATACTTGTATACCCAAACACACACACACACACACAATGAGTAAATAAATATAACTCAATAACTAAAAATAAAATAACAGAAATCACTAAGTACTTATATCAACCTTAATTCCCCTTAAGAAGGAGGCTGTATTTGTTTGAAAGACCACGCAGTCCCAGGTTAGCTTAATTTAGTACTATTCCCTTAAATGATTAAACAAACCTTCTCTATCAGTCTTCCTTCCATCACAAAGGGACCCCAAACCTGCAGTGGCTTCCCATTACCCCAGAGTCAGTGACAGAACATCTGCCTACAAAGCTCTACAGATTACTTTTAACAACACCAATGTCCCTCTCAAAATATCTCCAGTCACAAAAGACAATACAAGAACATCATTCCCAGCTCGTTTTCAATAGTCAGTCCATGAAGCTGACCACAGTGCCGCGTGGCCATCAGAGGACAAACTCAGCAACCACCTCTGTGAGTATTGTCCTCACAATGCATATCTAAAGTCAACATGGAACAATGTCACCTGTCTCTACCCAAGGCTGGCATAGGGGTTAGCAATCCCAAACCAGCCCATACCTGCAAAGATCAGGAGGAGAGAAGACGGTGGGAGAAGGGATGGATATCGTGTCTCTGAACTGATAGATTTCCACCCTTAGTAAAGAGGGATGCTGAGTCCCTTTTTAATAAGCTCTTAGCAAGGCAAAGTTCCCAAAGCAAATGATATCCAGACAGATCGTGGAACTATGAGGATCTCATAGAACAATAACATCGGTAGAACCCCAACATCTCCTTCCTTAAGCAAGGATATAATTGGAGTCCCTTTTCCTTCTTCTCTAATAAGAATAGTAAAGCCAGATGGCTTCTCCCCGGAGCAGCACAGCTCACTAACCTACATAGTTCCTGGAGCAGAAATGAGTTCTCTATCAAATCTGCTGATTTGCTCTGCTCCAACTCCCAGAGATCAGGATCAACTTCCCCAAGGGGACGCCTGTTCTGTGCCCTGGAAGCCACTCTTTGGTAAAGAGGCTGGGGCAGGAGGAGGAGAGACCACTCACCATTTGATTGCTGTACCAGTACAGCGATGACCCCTTCAGCACCACCCAGAACTTTTTCCATTTGTTGCTCAGGAAAGTTCCCTTTTCCTTTTTCTTGTACAGCCAACCCTGGCAGTCAGCGTGGCCCAGATCTTTACACGATATCCTCCTCCGACTCATGGTGAAAAAACCTGCAACAGTTACGCGAACAGGTTAAGTGTGACCCGGTCTGAAAAAAAAAAGAAAAAGAAAGGGAAGGAGGTAGGGAGGAAGGGGAGAGAGAGAGAGAGAGAGAGAGAGAGAGAGAGAGAGAGAGAGAGAGAGAGAGAGAGAGAGAGAGAGAGAGAGAGAGAGAGAGAGAGAGAGAGAGAGAGAGGATCCCATATATCTGTTCTATTTTTAAACATTCATTCGGTACCTAGAAAACCCGGGCAAAGAGGCAGTGAGACTTATATGCAATCATAGGTCTGAAAACCTTAGTCAAAAAGAGTAAGTTGAAAACGTTCAACTCTCAGAACTAGCAAGCACATTGCAGCAGACACATGGGTCCTTCCCACAAGAACAGCGGCAGTTATGCAACAGACACGGAAGGGTTAAAGCCCACCTAGGACCCCTGGGGATGTCCTGACTCAGTGCCAGCTTCCCCATGCTCTGTGGACAAAGCACGAGGGACTAGTCCCAGTGAACAGCATGTCATTCCTTCTTAAAATCGGTCCAAAAGCAACCCAAAAAATTAATCTGCCATCCACCTCCAGATATTAAATTCAGACAGACAAGAATCTGATCCCTTCCCCAAGAAGGCACCCAGGAGAAAGGAAGAAAGAAAAAAAATCACAATCACAGGCACAAGAAAGGAATACAGGAACAAAAGGGATCTAATTACCTTGAGTTTTCTTCCTCGGCTTCTGACGCAAGGGAACCTGCTGGAAATGCAGGAAGGAAAGAAAAGAGGCAATTTCTGATTGTGTTGTAACATTTGTAAAGAGAGAAGAAGGGAGGGGGCGGCAGTGTTTATGAGCAGGGTGGATTCTAAAAAAAAAAGAAAGAAAGAAAGACAGAAGAAAGACTCTCCAAGCAGAGCTCAAGGGGAGCTACGAGCTGAGGCACAAAATGTGCTAATTGGAATCGATATACATCAAGCTGAACCTGGGAAAAGGTAACGGCATTCATCTGTAGGGCTTCCTGTTTCCTCCCACAAGCAACTCTCGCTACTACTTGGGTTACTGAGGGCACCGTGCTTGATGAAGTTTTAGAAAAATCATGAAATACTTTACCTACACATTTTTGTGAGAGAAGAAACGTCTCTTTTCTCTCTTGCTTTCTAAATGATGTTGATTATTTAAATAAACCCCGAGAATAATTGTTTCCATCTCAAGCTGTTAAATGTTCACAACAGACTAACTTCATGGTCCTGCTAATATACAGGGCATTAACCGCCTGAACCACAGGCATTAAATAGCCTTGAGAAAGAAATTCCTTATCGTTCTTGTGTGACCTCAGGGACTCTAAAGCCTCCTGATTGGGAATTTCTTATTCTCGGCCACATTTACATATCTTATTCTATCTTTATCTCTGAATATTTCTCACATGCTTTATAGATGATAAATATTCAAATATTCAAATCAGACATGACAATTTATATAAAATACACACATTTTCCACAACACATTCTCATCAAGTCATGTAAAGCCAGATTCCAAACAAAACTGGAAAACCCAAAGAAAAATTATGCTTGCAAAAGCCTTTCTCTCTCTCTCTCTCTCTCTCTCTCTCTCTCTCTCTCTCTCTCTCTCTCTCTCTCTCTCTCTCTCTCTCTCTCTCCCATCTCTCTCTCACTCTCACTCTCTGTGCAAATATTATAGAGAACTTTAGCTTTAAAAAGTTTCATTTTTCTTTTATAGCATCTAAGCTGAAATTTTTTGTTTACATAATTTACATTTATTGTTAGCAAGCAGAGACTTTAACGTTTAAACACGCAATTAAAAGTGGCTCTAAAAGTTGGTATGGTAGGTAATCTCATGAATTTTGTGATACTCTAGATGCATTTGACTAGTAGTCCACATTTCCAACTGCTGATGAATGGTGCATGTGACTCTGCTGTATGTTTGGCAAGGGAATATGATCTACAGTAGAACTCGGATAGAATTTTTAAAGCCACAGGCCCAGAATTAACAAGGAGATATACTACCCAAAGAAACTCACTCTAAGCCTATTTCCTCATTTGTAAAAGCAAGATATATACAAGAAATACTAAGGAGGCTGAGACAGTGGAATTATCACCTGACTAAGGGCAGAATGAACTATAGAGCAATACATATATATATATATATATATATGTGTGTGTGTGTGTGTGTGTGTGTGTGTGTGTGTGTGTGTGAATTCTAATCCCATAAGTCTTAAGGAGATCTGCCAAAATTTATTTGTGAAAATATTCTGATAAGCAAAACTCATGTTTCTGTGAATGCATCATGGAGATATGCAAAGATAAGCCAACACTTAATAAATGAAACTCATCGTTTTAGAGTAAGCATGATTTGTGTTTCCCTCAGTAGGGAAGATGGGGTTAAGGTCAAATTGTGTTTCTTCAGGGACACAAAACCTGTGCAATCATGACCTGGCTTTTTACTTTATGAACATCTTTTCTTCCTTTGGATCGCTGTTCTCTTTGAGAATAAATAATGCTTAAGCAAACTCAACATATGTCAATCATGGCATGCTACTTAAGTCTAAACATAAGACCCTGTTAAGGGGCTTATCTCCCTTCCCTCTCCCTAATATTTCCCACACTGCCAACTTCTCAGTCTAAGATCCTTACCACTCCTTAGTCTCTGGGCTTTCTTTGTTTCTTATTATACCAATATCCTGAGATCAGTAAACCCAATTAGTACCTACTGGTTATGTAATACAGTTCAATTGAGAGCTGGGGCTAAAGACCAAAAGAGTAAAGGTTTGATAGTCAGTAAGGGAAATCTGGAATCCCAAGGAGCAAAAGCAGCAACTGCGAGCAGGGGAAGGGAGAAAGCAGAGGTTATTCCTAGAAGTCTGGAGCCCCAGGTAAACAAGATGAAAGTACATTACTTGAGACAACACCAAAAGCTCTAAAAAAGAACAAGGAAATGGGAGGCAGTGCCTAGGGGACAGCTATGGAGTCCTGGGAGGAAAACACAGGGGTGACTTTCATTCCTTGGCTCCTCAGCCATGGAACAGGGAACTGAGTCTCAGCAGTCATTGGTGGTTGGCTCCCAGTGGCTCTACTTAGCTCTTTAGCTGCCATCAAGCCTATAGCGGTTTCCAGGGAAACCCCCAAGTCAAAATGTGTCTTCATTCATCCTAATATCAGCCCTAGATCTACAGCTGGGTTCTTGTACCTAGCCTGGGTTTAGGAGTTAGGAGTCCACATCAGGTCAGTGCAGCCCCCCTACCCCACCCAGGCAAAGTGTTCCATTCCTCCAAGCAAGCTCCTTGTTTGTGACTCAAGCCTGCTGATAGTCCTCCCACAAAGCCAGCTTACTGATGTTCAGTGTTTTCCCCTGGCCAGAGGCAGGCTGCACATTAGAGAAATAACAAATTACCAAGGGTTTCGGTTTCACTTGGTAGATGTGCATTTGAAACCCCAACCGCTCTACAAGAAGTCGTGAAAACAACCTCTGAGAGCTTTACTGAGTCTAAGACACATTTTCCTCCTCACAACAGGAAGTGGAACCCATGGACTAGTCAGTTTCAAGACCTTCATGTGGCTTTCTCACTGGGTAGGTGAAAACATTAACAGCCGCCTGAGCGTTTTAGTAGACGATTCCAACCGTCCCTGACATTTAGAGTTAAGTAAGATACTCCTCCCAACTTATTTTCTTCCTGTCTGGATGTTATAGAGAAAAGCGACGACTTATTCTAAAAATGTAAATTTTCCCTAGGATAGGTCTAAAATTTGGGGGGAAGTCTCATTGAAAACACATCCGTAGTTTTTATTGGAGGAAAGCATACTTTTCCTTTGGCCTTGGAAAGATGGCTCAAATGTTTCATTTGAGAGCTGAGACAACGGCTCAGTCAATGAAGTACTTGCTGTACAAGCATGAGGACCTAGAAATCATGCTAAAGAGCCAGCTATGGTGGTGTGCTTATAACGTCAGTGTTAGGGAGGCAGAAACAGGCAGATCCCTGGAACTTGCTAGCCCGCCAGACTAGCCTATTCAGCGAGTTTCAGGCCAGTGAACAACTCAGATAACAAGATGTATTGTTCCTGAGGAATAACACCTGAGGTTGACCTCTGACATACACATACACATCTATGCACATGTACATGCCTGCACACATGCATACTATGCTGATTAGTTTCATTTCTGTTACTGTGGTAAAACGCCATGGCAAAAAGCAGCTTGGGGGAGAGGGGTTTGTCTTGACCTGTCGTCACTGTGGAGGGAGTCACGATTGCAGGAACTTGAAACAGTTTGGTGACATCACATCCACAGTCAAGAGTAGAAAGAAAGAAATGTAGACAAGCTCACTGGCATCCTTGTGCTCAGCACACAGTTCAGGAACCCCTGCCTAGAGAACGGTGCCACCCACAGTTGGCTGGGTCTTGCCACATCAATTAACTTAAGGTGATGCCCCCCACATACATGCTCCAGGCCAGCCCAAAGCTCAACCCCTGATTGAGATTCTCTTCCCAGATAATTCTAGATTGTATTAAGTTGACAATTAAAGCTAACCATCAACTTGGACAAATGTTTCTTCATTTCTGGGAACACTGGCTTGCAGCATCTGCCACTTCTTGTGGCATTTTCCTCACATGCCTGACAATATATACTGCCATTACTAAGTGACAAAGGGTTTGGGGTTCTCTGGGCATTGGCGTCACACGCCTATAATCCCAGCACTCGGGAGGCAGAGGCAGGTGGATCTCTGTGAGTTCAAGACCAGCCTGGTCTACCAAGCAAGTTCCAGGACAGGCTCCAAAACAATACAGAGAAACCCTGTCTCAAAAAAAAAAGAGAGAGAGAGAGAGTTGGGGTTCTCCACAAATACTTGAAAACTCCACAAGTTTCTCTCTATATTGTTGGAAAACTAAACTTGACTTTTTAAAAGGAATTGAAAGGCATTTGATTAGTAAAAATTTACCTGTGGTAATACGCTTAAAACTAGGCTTAACTTTTTCTGGATGCCAACCACTTAAACACTATGCAATACCAAAATATGGAATGAAAATCTCTCTCTGATAGTGAATAACAGAGAAGGGCAGTGGGAGTTTGAGCTTGGGTATGATCTCCTGGAAAAGCTATAGAACGGCAAAGGCTAGCAATAAGAACCCAAAGGAAGACCAACACATGAACAGTAAAGCAATAAAAAAAAGGGTCACCTGAGGAAAAATAAACAGGAATACCCATGGTCAAACTCAGGAGAAGAGCATCGTGAGAGTAAGGGAGAGACTCTGGAGAAAAGTTGGTCCAAGCCACCAAATTCTGATGCTTTAAAGGGAAGGTTTATTAGAGATTTTCTGTATCATTATTTTTCTCACCACTGTGACACCATACCTAATAAGAGGAAACTGGGGGGGGGGAGAGGTTGTTTGGGCTCACACTGTTTCAGGAAATGCATCTTGATAGAGAACTACTGTCAGTGCAGTAGTGAGGTCTGGGGCAGCAGGAGCTTGAGGCCCTCACTTCAGGCCAGGAAACAAAGATCCAGGACAGGAAGCTGGCTCTCGCCCTCAAGGTTCACCCCAGAAGCCTACTGAGAGTGTGTAGGTCTTATGTCTCAAGGATTCTACAGCGTCACCAAACTGTGACCAGCTGGGGACCATGTGTTGAAGGACACAAGTCAGTGTGAGACACTTGAGATGTAGACCATCCCAGAAATCTTGACTACACAGTCTTTGGAGCCAGGAGACAAATTCCAGCAGGGTCTGGGAATAAGTGGGAGCTAAGGA